TTTAATTTGTGGGAGAAAACGCGTGCGGACTGCGCTACGGACCGATACATGATCGCGTTGGATGACTTTTCTGGTTCGGACAGTATGATCCGAACGGTTGCTGGAGGTTTGAGGTTGGGGCGTAGTGTCATTATTGAAATTGAAAGTTTCTGAAGAAAAAATGTTGATAAGCTAGCGCGCCGGCTAGACGGTTTCACGCATGACGAGATCGTGTGACGCGTTCTAAAAAAAGATCGTGCGACGCGAGCGATTGAACCGGCTAGATTGATTGACCCGCAGCAAGATGTGACGGGCCAAAGGAACGCAATTTGCATCTGAACATCTACGCGCGCGATCGACCGATGCGACGTGATGCCAAGTTGCCAACTCCTCCTAGCTCGCTACAGCTGCACCGCACCGGTTCCCTGCCGTATCTCGGTGCGCCAGATCGGAGGGTACGTACATCTATAGGTGCCCGCCTGTCGCTGTGTCTCCATGGTATACAGTGCTGTCTCACTGTTCCATATATAGCCAGCTAGCAGGTGGAGACGATTTGATAGCTGACTAGATGCGACACGGATCCGCAGCGCACTATGAACGAAAGCGCGCAACACGTCAAGTGCAAAGGTACTACCGAAGCTAATTAAGAGCAACTTCAATGGAGCGATCATTTTGTTTGTTTGGGTCATCCAGACACAAAAATTGATCCAACGGGGTGACCCAAACGGACGCTCGTGTCCGCCTGCTGTCCGTTTGTCTGCCCGCCCGATCCAAACTGAATGCAAAAATGGGCCACAAATGGGTCCGCACGGACAAAAGCGGGCGCTCTCGTCGTCCGCTCTCGTCTGCTGCCTCCCTCTCGTGTTCGCCCCTAGGCCCACGTATCAGTGACCGAGTAAGAAAACCACCCCAGCCGCGACCCCCACCCCACCTCCGCCTCCTCCCACAGCCGCACCAGCAGCAACTCCCTGTCGACGGCGATGCCTCTCTTCTCAGGCGGCGGTGGCCGCGACCCCCACCCTGCCTCTGCCTCCTCCTTCTCCCACCGCGTCCTCCAGCTCGCCGCCGCCTGCTTCTTCTTCCTCATCGCCTTCCTCCGCCTAAACTTCCCCTCCTCCCGGTCCACCGCACCGTCCCCAGTCGGCCCTCGCGCCCGCCTCACCCGCAGGCCGGCCCTCCACCGCGACTCCGTGGCGGCAGAGGCCGCCGCGGCCGCCGTCGCCGCCAGGGACCTCTACACCGGATCCAGTTCGACGACGTGGACGGCGGCGCGTGGAAGCAGGGGTGGGAGGTCGCCGTCGGAGCTGGTCGTCCACTCCGCCCGCCCACCTCGATCTCGTATGCTCCCAGTGCATGCTGTGGCGACGGAGGAACGCGGCGGCGCCGGGAGGAAATCTGCATCTTGCTTGTCCGCTTTGGGTCATTCACGAACGGCGCGTTGGGTGCATCCACAGACCATGCGTGTCAACCTCATGTCCGCTAGGCGAACGGGCGACTCAAATGGACGAAAAACAGACAAAATTCATGTCCGTTTAGGTCGTCCCGTTGGAGTTGCTCTAAAGTCGACCCGTGCACCCGAATCTTCTCTTTCTCTTCCCCGGGTGCAGCTGCACGGGCACACGGCTAGTACGTTTTCTTAGGACATCTCACAATTTGTTCACGAACCGGTCATCCAACGCATTGCCCGACACGCCCATGCACATGTCAAATGCAGATTGAACAAACCGCACGAATTACATACAAACCGAATAATTTCCATGCAAACCAGACAAAGATCGGCATATTACAATTAAACCGAACAAGTTAAACTAGAATTAAAAAAAACTAGAAAAACTAAATCAGGCATCTACCTCGCACACATGCCCGCCCTGTCCGATGAGACCTCCGCTGTCGTCCAATCCGTTGCCGTGGAATCGCCGTTATGCTCCTTCCGACGGCCGATGGGTGCGTAGGGGCCGCTACAGCTCTGATTGACCGCCACCTGCCGCTCAGCTTTCTCTACCGCCGCGCACATGGCCGCGTAGGCCGAGGACATAGCTCTGCCGCGCCCGCCTCTCGCCTTCCCTTTGCCGACGACGAAGGAGACGACGTGTAGCGACTCGGCCACGCTGGTCTTAACGAGTTGGTCGCTGAGGCAGACCTGTAGCAGACATATAGGTATATGTTTCTGGATAGTGTCAACATCAGGAATTTTGGGCAAGAGGATAATGAGTTAATGACCCCATAGTTAAATCTGCTGAGATCCAAAGAATGAGTCCAAATCATGCTTAATAACTGGCCAACAAGCCTAATAAAACTCAGCGGGAATTCCACCAGGGCCAGGAGCCCTATTAGCCACTCTTATCAATAACCTGCCAGGAGCCCTATTAGCCACTCTATCAATAACCTGCCAGGAGCCCTTCTATCAATAACTTGTTTAAATCTATCATTATCGGATAAACTTTCTGTATTATCCCATATATCATCACTCAGGGTCACCCAGTTTCCTTCCACTTTACCAAAAAGACTTATATAATAATCAGTAGCATATGACAACAATTTTCTACTGTTCCTACCGTCGGCAATTTTGTGGAAGAACATGGCGTTATTGTCACCATGTAGTAACCATTTTACATTAGCTCTTTATTGCGAGAATAGTTCCTCTTCTTCATGGATTTTCATAATAAAACTTTGCACAAAATTTTTCCTGGCATATTGTGTGCTGCCATGATTTCGGTTTCTTCCAAAATCTCTAACCGTTCCAATTCAGCCATGAGTTATTTCTTTTGCTGAATAGTGTCTCCTCAAATGTTCACACCCCGACCTTTTAATTGACCTTTTAACTTTTTAATCTTAAGTAGAAAAGCACTCAAGTTATCCTTGGCATTAACAAAGGAATGCCAAGCTTTCTCCACTCCGCAAAAAATTCAGGGTGTGAAAGCCGAGAAGCCTCAGATTTGAAATCTTTGCTTCTGACTTTCACACACTCTCCAGTGTCCACAGTCAAACGATTTTCATGAGACACAACTCTAACGATTTTCTTAATAGCAGTAAGAGGAAACACACTCTCCAAAGCATCACTAATCAGGATCCTATCTAACTTCTCCAAGGTGGGGTTGTTTGGATTGTTAGACCATGTGTAAGCCCCACGAGATAAATTGTACTTCTCTCAAATAATCAGTAGAAGTACTGATCATACAATTAAACATGACTGTGAGATCTCAAACATAGTTTCCTTGCTCGTGTGGGCTTGAGAATATCTGAGGACGAAGCTAGGCGAACTAGGGAGTCCAAAGGGTCTATTTCATGTAGACCTTTTTTTTTCATTTTTCGAAAAGAGGAGTGCCTCGGCCTCTGTATTGTAGGATATACACACATCCATTTGATTAAACGTGAATGATGTCATGGCCTCGAGTACTAGACAATAACGCATATAAGAAGAGAACACAATCACAATGGGTCACACCCAAGATTACATAGCTCATCCACGTAATCTACGAGTGGCTCGCCAGCCAAACTGATTGAATAAACCCTACACAACCATTTCGAGCCGGCTAGAACCACGTGCCATAAGCGCCCGCGTGTCCTGTGTCCACATGTTGTAGTAGCCCAGTAGATAACTTGCAAGAAATTAGGAGTATGATTTATGAAAAACGCAATCGTGCCTATGGTTCCATGTTAGTCTATTTTCTAGACTAATATGTAGATTATATTATACTCCTACTAGTAACATCCATTTGAGCGTCAACTAATTCCGAACGAAAGAAGTAGCTAAGTAAAATGACTAGAAATGAAACATCGGGATCTAGAACATTTGGTTCACTTTTGCAGCAAAGACCATGTGAAAAGCTAAGAAACACATTCAAGTCCTAAAACAGTTCTGCTAAACCAAATCCGCAAGAACGGATCCAAAGTGTATTTACAGCGATTTATCGATGAAACAGCATGAGTGAGAATGGTTCTCCCCGCCTGCTTAGTTTGATCCGTCCACAACTGCCTTGTTCACGGCCTCTTGAGAGGTTGCTCACATTATTTGTAGTAGGATTCTACTCCCTCCGTCTTATAATATAAAACGTTTTTTCAAACTAGCATTTCATCCGTTCCTAAATACTCCCTTAGTTCCAAAATATAAGTCTTTTTAGATATTTCACTATGCACTACATACAGATGTATATAAATAGTGTAGATTCACTCATTTTGCTCCGTATGTAGTTCGTAGTGAAATCTCTAAAAAGACTTATATTTAGGAACGGAGGGAGTATAAGTCTTTCTAAAGATTCCAATATGAACTACATACGGAGCAAAATGAGTGAATCTACACTGTAACCTATGTTTATATACATCCATATATAGTTCATATTAAAATCTCTAGAAAGACTTATACTCCCTCCGTCCCAAAATTCTTTCCTTAGATTTGCCTAAATACGAATGTATTAGTATTAGGTGCATCCATATCTAGATAAATGTAAGACAAAAATTTTGGGATGTAGGTGCCTACAAGGAAGTCGCTGTGGGTACGGTTTACACATTAATGCAATCGTGTCGTGAAGTGCGTAGTATGATCGGTGCATGCATCAGCCAAACCCAAGCTCCCAACCGCACGCATGCTTGTCGTACCACTGCCCTCATCATGCATGATGCTTATTATGTTGATCTCTCGGCCTCGTCGTGATGCCCGAGCTTTCCTCGTCAGATATCTTGCGCCACATGCAGCTTTCGCGTATCCGTAGTAGTTTGTACATTGTACTGTTTTGTACGCACGCAATGTGTTTTGCTGGCCACACGTACACGTACGTAGTACATTTTTAGGTGTGAGACCATCCGAAAGAAAACGAAAAACATGCAGCGCTGTTACATGCAATGCAACTGAGCCGCCGCTTTCAGTGGCTAGCTGTAGCTTCTCGTAGGACACCTATTCTTTCACCTACAGATTGCAAGATCTCTGTGTCTCACTACTCGTGCACTACTCAACTACTCACTGCACATGTAGACATGTACTCTTCAGTGTACATATTCTACCTGTACACACGGTGCCCTTATTTATGCCCAACTCTCCGCTTGAAAAGACTCACGAAACGCAGAGAGATCCATCGTTCACTCAAGCCAGGACACAGATGGTCGTCATGAACAAAGCGCGAGAGATGACACTGATAGCCGCTCTGTTCGTGCTCAGCTGCCTCCTCAAGACAACGACGAGCCCCGCCACCTCGGCCTACTCGGGCGCGTGGAGGCCGGCCTCCTCCTTACTCCACGAGCTCTGCCACCTCGGGGTCCGCCCGCTGATCCGTGACGATGCCGAGGCCACCGCGCTGGCGTCCGCCGACTTCGGCAACGTGTCGGATGCGCAGCCGGCGGCGGCGGCCGTGCTCTACCCATCGTGCCCCGAGGACATCGCCTCGCTGCTCCGGGCCTCGTGCATGCACCCCTCCCCGTTCCCCGTGTCTGCCCGGGGCTGCGGCCACTCGACCCGAGGGCAGGCGTCCGCACCCCGCGGCGTCGTCGTGGACATGCTGTCGCTCGGGTGCCAAGTCGGCGGGTCTGCTACCCGCCTCTCCGTCTCGGTCGATGGCCGCTACGTCGACGCCGGCGGCGAGCAGTTGTGGGTGGACGTGCTGCGTGCTGCCCTGGCACACGGCCTCACCCCGAGGTCGTGGACCGACTACCTCCACCTCACCGTCGGCGGGACGCTCTCCAACGCCGGCATCAGTGGCCAGGCCTTCCGCCACGGCCCCCAGATATCCAACGTCCAAGAGCTCGACGTGATCACCGGTACGTATGTGCACCGTGCACGACGGCACTAGATGAACCCGTTTGGTTCTTTATGTCATATTCACGACTTCACGTACTAATGCTTGCGAATTAATATGTAGGGCTCGGGGAGATGGTGACATGCTCAAAGGAGAAGCACGCGGACCTGTTCGACGCCGTGCTGGGTGGGCTGGGGCAGTTTGGCGTCATAACGCGGGCGCGCATCCCGCTGATCCCGGCGCCGGCAAGGGCGCGCTGGGTGCGGCTCTTCTACACGGGGGCCGCGGCGCTCACGGGCGACCAGGAGCGGCTCATCGGCGTCGACCTCGGCACCACTGTGTCCGGGCTCATGGACTACGTCGAGGGCTCGGTGGTGCTCGCGGACCAGGGCCAGGTAGGGAGCTGGCGCTCGTCGTTCTTCTCGGAAGCCGACGCGGCGCGCATCGCCGCGCTCGCTGAGGAGGCCGGCGGCGTCCTTTACTGCCTCGAGGGATCGCTGTACTACGGCGGCGCTGCTCTCGCCGGCGAGTCTGACGTCGACAAGGTAAAACTAGCTTGATCTTTTGTCGGTGTGGGTGCGCGCGTAGGCTCCATCCGTGCGTCTGTCGTGTCGTGTAACTAGCCAGAGCTACACGGGGACCCGCCAAGTGAGATCGATGGTGACTTTTTGGCCGCCTGAGCTGACGCGCATGGCTCCAACCGTGCATGCAAATCCATTGCACCATCGACGTCGTCGTACGTAGTTGGTCTAGCTTTGTCTGCCCTGGAAAGGACCCGTCCCTGTCGCAAATCTAACCCGGCCCATCAGCAGTAATCCCACTTTAGGGATAAGTGAACTATTAGCGAAAGTGAACATAAATTCCTGCCTGGGAGAGAATAAACTAGGACGTCCAACCACTTTTTTCTACCGATATTAATTACGAATACACTAGTTAAATTAGACAACATCGAGATTACAGTTATATAAAAATGGTTTGCTAAAAAATTTGGACTTCTTGAAGCAATAATTACAAAAATTTCTACAATCCACATCCACCATTTTTTGTTGGATCAAGGCTTTAAGTCTCTCCACTAAAATTTTGACCAAATCTGTGCCAACTTGCTCTCTGACATATTTGGCATTTTCTTATATTTGGGGTGGAATGACCTAATCATGTGATAGGGAGAAATTTCTTCACAATAGCTAAACGCAAGAATTAGGGTTAGTCGATTTTGGTAGGAAGGAGGCAGCCAGCGCTCGCAAAGTGGCAGGGTGCACAATGATCTTAGGTAGCGCCCCTGGTCGCGGGCGGCGGTAAATTGGGCGATACGAGATAGAAGACGATGAACAATAATTAACCATCAGGAAGTGGAAGAAGCTGATCTGGGCGTCCATCTTGCATCCGACGGCTCACAGAAATTGACAAAATCCATTTTTTTTTATTTTATTCTGTAGCCGATCCCAAAATTACCGAAAAATGCTTTTGCCCCGCTTTATATATAAAGCAACGACCAACAACAACCCGGTACAAACGCACGCCACCACAACACACGCACACACCTAAGGCAAGATACATAAGTGTTGAACGCAGCAACACCATCCCAAGCACTACAAGAGCATCCGGGTCCTCGCCCGTGAACACGCCACCACGAATAGATGAAGCCGCATATGACGAACCGTGGGCTCCAAGACGGTGCCTTCAGGAAGGAAACGACACCGAAGCGCCGCCACCGCCCGACCCGAGAGTCAGAGTTTCCCCTAGAGCAACATAACGGGCAACGATGGCCGCGACGACGCCTTCAAGAAGGAAGCGAGCTTCGCCGCCGCCGATCCCAAATTTCTTCTAGGATAGTAGTAAAAGCTACCATCCGCGTACAAGAGGATAAACGGAATATGCATCATTTCGCTTTTTGTTGTGGGTGACTAGTTAGTGGGGACTAGGGAGTACACCAATAAATCAGCTCTGTGCGGTCTCATCATGTACTTATATACTCCCTCCGTTCTAAAATATAGCGCGTCCTCGGTTTCCGTGCTTCAACTTTGACCATTAATTTAATCAACAAGACCGACTGCGGCGGGCGAAAAAATTATACCAATGAATTCGTATTCAAAAAAAGTTTTTAATTATATAATTTTTGATCCCGCCGCAGTCGGTCTCGTGGGTTAAATTTATGGTCAAAGTTGAACCTCGAAAAACGTGGACGCGCTATATTTTGGAACGGAGGGAGTACTTTGCCAGAATTACTTCAAAACAAGCAAGTAGAATTTTGCCAGAATTACTTTATCCATGCATACGCTTTTGAGCATCAATCAAAAGCTGGCTAGGCCTTTGAGCATTTTCTTGTAGCCAGTACACCTAGTAGCACCATGCGAACAAGATCTAACGCATGGGACAGGGACCGTGCATGCACTGCATAGTGCATATGCAAGGGCCAAACCCTGTGATCTTGCCTGACCTACATGCTGTTCTAATTCCGTCCATAGACACGTCACACTGCCATCCTCTTGTCAGAAAAGTAACTCACTCGATCAACTTTTATAATTTTGTAAGGTCTGGTCCTACAAATATATTTTTTATCACTGAAAAAATAACGATGGTTCGCGTTCCCGTACATGCATGTACACTTTCTTTAGGGGTGCATGTACAGTTTTCAGCCGGTAAAGGGAAATGAAAAACTCTGCATGTATTCGTGCGTGCGTAAAACTTAAGTGTGAAAAAACTACTGTATTAATGAATGCATCCATGCACGTATGGACAATCGTGAACTACTTTAGAGATCTAAACGGCCTTATACTCCGTTAATTTGTGGGTGAATGCATGCGTGCAGAGGCTGGAGGTGCTGCTGCGGGAGCTGCGGTACGCGCGTGGGTTCGCGTTCGTGCAGGACGTGTCGTACGCGGGGTTCCTTGACCGGGTGCGCGACGGCGAGCTCAAGCTCCGCGCCGCCGGCCTCTGGGACGTGCCTCACCCCTGGCTCAACCTCTTCCTCCCGCGCTCCCGCGTCCTCGACTTCGCCGACGGCGTCTTCCACGGCATCCTCCGCCGCGACGGCAGCACCGGCCCCATGGGCCCCATCCTCGTCTACCCCTTGAACCGGGACAGGTGGGACGGCGACACGTCCGCAGTGTTCCCGGAGGAGGAGGAGGTGTTCTACACGGTTGGGATCCTCCGGTCGGCGGTGTCCGAGGGCGACCTTGGGCGTCTGGAGGAGCAGAACGAGGAGATCTTGCGCTTCTGCGAGGAGGCAGGGATACCGTGCGTGCAGTACCTGCCGTACTACGCCGCCCAGGCCGGGTGGGAGAAGAAGCACTTTGGTCCGGCCAAGTGGGCCAGGTTAGTGGAGCGGAAGAGGAAGTATGATCCCAAGGCTATCCTGTCCCGTGGCCAGAGAATTTTCACCTCCCCGCTGGCTTGATTGACACATCAATCGACGCCCAGCTAGCTAGCTATCTCGTCCAATGCATGCACTTCATCATGATATTTCTTGCTTGCATGGTCCCGGTCGGAGCATCGATACATACATGCATATGGTACGCTCGTATATTTGTTTACGGTGGGAGTACATATCATGTTGACAAGGAGACTTGGTTTGAGTTTTCTGCATGTTAGTTTGTTAGTAGCTACTTACGTGCTAGTGTGCTACTATATCATGTTAGGTCGAGTAGCTTGTATCCGCCTTCTCTGCCGCTTCTTCTTTAATGCGATGATATGCATGCTTGTGTGTATTCGAGAGAAAAAAAAAAGCTTTCCTCCCCAAATCAACTCCTTTTGTCTTTCCTGGTTTTCTGCAACATCGCCCAAGAGTTGATTAAAGAGCAGGCTCTTTATAAAATTACAAATGAAATTGATATTTCACATCTGGATGCACTGGCGGAGCTTCAGCAAGGCTGAATGGGCCGTGGCCCGCCCAGCCCATGAAGTTTTATACAGTATACACCTACTCTTGGGCCTTAAAACAGCAGCCCATAAGCTATGTTCTTCTTGTTGGCCCGCCATGTTTGGGCTGCAAGCTCCGCCACTGTCTGGATGTAATATACTTACCTCACATCTAACGCTCAACTATACTGAAGATAAGATGGCCTGACAGGTGTTTGACAGCCTAGTTCAGATTAAGGCGGGTGATGGGAGCCGAGTGTTGTTCTAGAGAGATAGACGGATTCATGGATTTGCTGCCACCGACATCGCACCGATGATACACAACTGCGTGGAGGCACGCACGCGCAATTGAAGGACGGCCCAGGAGGCGATGGAGAACAACAGATGGATCTACGATATCCATGGTGACGTTTCCTTCACTGCCCAGCTTCAACTCATGCACCTAGGGTAGGCGGTAGGATCTGTGCAGAGGGATACCTAGTCGACGGACCAGTTCTCCTGGCCCTGCGATGTTTCCGGACAATACATGGCGCGATCCACCTAGCAGAGGCTCTGTGTCGGGCTGGAGAAGGCCCCATTCGCGGATTGCATGTGAAGGAGCTGGGCACTGTTAGACTGTATATTCACATAGAGCTTATGTACGTAACTGTATATCGTATTTGTACAGACGGGGTACCTCTATATATATTAGAGAGCCACACCCGTATTAGGGTCTCCAGCAGTTTCCAACAACCCTAATCTTTACATGGTATCAAACTAGGTCTACGATCGATGTCTTTCGCCCCCGCCCCGATCGCCTCTGCCCCGGCCGTCGCCGCCTCTCCATTTTTTTTCTTCTCGTCCGCTGGCTTCCACGGTCGGCGCCTCCACGACCGCCGCTCCTCCCCAGCCTGGCCCGCCGCCGCCGTTTCCTATGACGCCGCCGCCTATCCATGACATCGCAGCTCCGTCCCCGTCTCCCGGCTTGGCCCCGACGCCACCGCCGGCCTAGGGGCCACCCGCGACCAACCCCTGGCTGGGGTACCCCAGCCCTACAACGCTTTAGTCGTGTCGGCGGCCTCTTACGGTGCTCCACCACAACCGCCAGCCCACGCCACCGCCATGGCCAACTCGTGGCTGACCTACCAGTCGCCACTCGGTGCCCAAGCCGCGCTGACAGCGCCCTATGGCGTCTCTACCCCGTCGGCATAAGCTACGTACCCGACGGCCCCAGTGTGTGTGCCTCCTCATGGTTCGGCCTCTTCATACGAGGCGCCCTACGGTGGTCCATCGATAGAGTTGGTGGCTTACTCCGTGCTGCTGGGTGTTACTTGGCCTCTGGGATTTTATGTGCCACCACCACCTTTGGATTACGTTGTGCCCAACGCGCCGTTCTACTTTGTGCATCTCATCCCGGTGAAGCTCGCAATGGATAACTACCTGTCATGGCGTGCTCAAGTACTGCCACTTCTCCGCAGTCACTACTTGGATGACTTTATTGATGGAACACTAACGTGCCCTCCGCCATATCATCTGACGCATCATGCTTGGGTGGCCTAGGATCAAGCCATTCTCTCTGCTATCCAGTCCTCTTTTACGGAGGGAGTCTCGTCACTGGTCATCTTTGCTGCTACGTCTCGGGATACGTGGATGGCTCTTCATACCAGTTTTGCTTCGCAGTCCCAGGTGCGGGCTCATGCTATTCGCACTGCGCTTGGGAAGGTGAAGCTTAATGATCTCACTGTCACCGACTACTTCAACAAGGTGATGGCATGGCAGACACCCTTGCCTTTATCGGCAAGGCCCTTCTTTTGGAGGAGTTCACCTCCTCTGTGCTCAATGGACTAGATGACGACTATGATAACTTGGTGGAGAATATCAATGGCCATGACACTCCCATTCAGCCGCGCGAGCTGTACGCACGTCTTCTTGCCACGGAACAACATATCAAGGCTCGCCGCTCTACACCGAGATTCCCTTCCGCCAACGCTGCAACGTGTGGCAAGGGCAAGCGCTACAAGCAACTGACTCGTGGCAAACCGCTGCCGGTTGCGCCCAACCCGCAGAACTCCACTACCTTCGCAGGCGACCTAGTTCGTGCCTCCTGGCCTTCATGTTGTTCTCAGGTTCCCTGACAGCTATGTGGTCTCGATGGTCACCTTGCTTCCTGTTGTCATCATTGCTTCAAGCATGATTTTTTAGGGATCGAGAACAATGGCAAGGGTAATGAGAAGCAGGATGCTCTGGCGAGTCATGAGCATGGACATAATCCTTCCTATCTGGTTGATGCATCATGGTACATGGATACGGGGGCTACCAATCACCTAACGAGTGAGATGGGCAAGCTCTCTACACAGGAGTCATACCATGGACATAATCAGGTTTGCACTGCTAATGGGGAAGGTATGCACATCTCACATATTGGTCAGGCATCACTTCTTACTCATTGATCCAAACAATTATGTCTCCTTAATGTTCTTCGAGTTCCCTCTGTTTCACGTAGTTTGTAGTCAGTTCCTAAACTTACTCGTGATAATGATGATTTTGCTGAGTTTCACCCGCTTCATTTTTCTGTTAAAGACCAGGACACGAGGGACGTTCTTCTTAGAGGTCGACTGCGCCATGGTCTTTATGCATTTGATGTGCCACTAACTCCTTGTGCTTTCAGCGGTGTTCGTGTGTCTTCATTGCATTGGCATGTGCGCCTTGGTCATCCTACCATCCCGATTGTCAGCCATGTTCTTCATCGTCATGAGCTTCTAGTTGTGCCTAATAAAAATGCTGCTACATTGTGTGATGCCTGTCAGCAAGGCAAGAGTCATCAGCTTCCTTTTTCTGAGACGAGTTGTGTAGTCAACAAACCGGTTGAGCTTGTGTGTTCGGATGTATGGGGCCATGCCCAAACCTATGTTGGTGGTCATAATTACTATGTCAGCTTTATTGATGCTTCCAGTCGGTTTACTTGGCTTTATATTCTCAAGCGCAAGTCTGATGTGTTTAACATTTTCTTGCAATTCCAAGCGCATGTTGAGCGCCTGCTCAGTCACAAAATCATTCATGTGCAATCTGATTGGGTGGGGTGAGTATCGCAACCTCAATGCATTCTTTAATAAGTTTGGAATTACACATCGTGCGTCTTGTCCTCATACACATCAGCAAAACGGTGTAACTGAATGTAAGCATCGTCATATAGTTGAGACTGGTCTCACCTTGCTTGCCCATGCCTCCGTCCATTTTCAGTTTTAGAGTGATGCTTTTTCCACCGCCTATTTCCTCATTAACAAACTTCCTACATGACTCCGTCAGATGAAAACACCAGTTGAACTCTTGTTGAATGAAATTCCTGACTATACGTTTCTCAAGGTTTTTGGGTGTGCGTGTTGGTCACATCTTCGTCCATATAACAAATGCAAGTTGGAGTTTCGGTCTAAACAGTGTGTGTTTTTTGGTTATAGTTCTCTTCACAAAGGGTAAAAGTGTCTTCATGTACCCTCTAAACGCGTCTACATTTCTCATGACGTGGTGTTTGACGAGAATGTATTTCCCTTTTCCACACTTTCGGTCACTTCCACCACTCCCACTGCACTTGAGAAATCCGTTTTACCTTTGCCTAGTCAATTTGTAGATGCTACATATACCCCTTGTTGCTAACTAACCATGGTGCAGGTACTGGGAGAGGAGCGCGCCTCGAGCTTCTAGATGAGCCTCCGCCCGTGGTCACTTGGGCATCCGATGGTGGGTGCGCATGGGACGTCGATCGGGTGCATGGCCCATGCACCCTTGATCGATGTCTCCCCACCTCCACCTGGCTCCTTGCCACCTAGCCCGTCGCCCGTGAAGGCTGAGCCGGCCGCCGCCTCTTCGGCCCCGAGTGGGCCACCCTCACCAGGCCTAACGCCTGGTCTGGCCAAGTCGCTCCACTCGTCTACGTCGCCCGCATCGGTTGCCTCTCCCTCGATGCATGAGTGGTCTCCCGTGCTGCATGTCACGTTGTTGTCGTTGATACATGTGCCCACTGAGTCTGGTGATCGGTCGGTGTCATCGTCACCATCTTCATCGACTTCGTCTCCGACACCACCTCCGTCACTGATACGTCCATTTTGCAGCATGCTTTTGTATCAATATTTATTGCATTATGGGCTGTTATTACACATTATATCTCAATACTTATGGCTATTCTCTCTTATTTTACAAGGTTTACCATGAAGAGGGGGGATGCCGACAGCTGGAATTCTGGCTGGAAAAGGAGCAAATATTGGAAACCTATTCTACACAGCTCCAAAAATCCTGAAATTCCACGGAAGTCAGTTTTGGAATTAATAAGAATTATTGAGCGAAGAAAACACCAGAGGGGGCCCACACCCTGGCCAGGAGGGTCGGGGGCGCGCCCACCCCGACTGGGTGCGCCCCTGTCTCCTGGCCCCCTGGTGGCCCTTCGGTGCCCATCTTCTGCTATATTAAGGCTTTTACCCTGGAAAAAAAATCAGAGGCAAGCTTACAGGACAAAACTCCGCTGCCACGAGGCGGAACCTTGGCGGAACCAATCTAGAGCTCCGGCAG